ATTCTCTACCTGGAAAACCCCAAAAAGGGTCACCATAAAACAGAATTGACTTGGCAGCAAATAATTATTATAAACACCTGGCTGGATATCTCAGTGATTTAAGTATTCTGCTGCAAAACCAAACGTTGGGAGTTCAACTTCCCATTGTGGCTCCAGAGAGAAGAACCAGCCCATGTCGTCGTGAGCAAGCTACACAGTCTCAGGATGCCCCAGAAAATCAGAATGGTAAACCACTTCTGCATATTCTGCAACTAGAAAACCCTGAAAAGGTTTGCCATAAGTCAGAATTGACTTGACAGCACAAAAACGCACACACAACAAAGAATAAATTGGTTGTTCTGGGTTTTTCGGGCTCTTTGGCCGTGTTCTGAAGGTTGTTCTTCCTGACGTTTCACCAGTCTCTGTGGCCGGCATTGTCAGGAAGAACAATCTTCAGAACACGGCCAAAAAGCCCAAAAAACCCAGAACAACCATTAGATCCTGGCCGAGAAAGCCTTCATGAAGAATAAATTGTTTAGAAAATCAGCATTTATTCTGTTAATTGTTATACACACTTTCTACAAACTGAAGATTACAAAATGTGGCAATTCATCCCATTTGTGAAGGATGCAGAAACCACCAAAATAGTAACTTTGTTAGTGTAACATATTACTGTATCTTTAAAACCTATTCCCACCCCCATCTCCCAGTCTAACAATTCTTATGATCTGATTTTGGGATAATTTGCTTGATACAAAAAAAATTACAAATCCACAAGATTGCTTTCTTGTTGTATCACTTGAAGATCAATGGCTAATATAATAAAGTCCAGTTGAGGTTCAAATTCCTTCTTAGCCATGAAGCAACACACTCAAAACTGCTTCCCAATCAATCAAATATTTAAAATATGAACAGTTCAAAGTTATGGCAAGATGGAGTTTTGAATATACAGAGTGGTCCTGAACCAACCAGATAGGCGGGATATAAATAAAATAAATAAATAAATTACAGACAAAGGCTAGTATACTGCTGCCTAAACATGGCACACATATCCACTGTAAAGTAATAGACAGAATGATGACTAGGATTCAGGAGACCTGGGTTCAAATCCCTGCTTGGCCATGGACATTTTTAAGTATCTCTTTTTTTTTTTAAAGCACTGTTAGGGTTACTTTAAGATGGTTCTCACTTAATGGCAATTACATACACGCATGCACACACAAACACACACATGAAACAAGAAGGAAAACCACATAACTGTTTGGTGCTCAACCCTCACAACAAACCCGACCAAATGCCTCTTCTCACAAGGATTGTGAGATCAGTCCCATAACTAGTCATGCAATGGGGATCTTGCTGGAGTAGAAGGGAGAGCTTATGTGACTTCTCTTCTGCACAGTGTTAGGTTACAAGTTAGTAACAAAAAAATTAAGAACTACTACTGTTCAGTTCAAAGTATAGGGGTCATGGGAAGCAATTTTAGAAAGCATAAGCCTAAGCATAAGAAGAGCCATGTTGGATCAAGCATTCTGATCACACAACTGAAATTGGTAAAAATGAATTAATAGTAGCTTGGCTAGCACAGCTAAGGTTCCTACCAAAAACTATTAAAATACCCATGTTAGCACTTGACCTGATGACTTTTCCTATGATCACAATAGGCAATAATAAGACTGTCTGACCTCAGTATATTCAGATTAAGTGTAACACAGGTAAACCACTCAATGTATTTCTTCCTCAGAATTTCTGGCTAATTTTCTAGGAAATGCCTTTCTAATTGTGTCTAGAGCCAAAAATCCTCTACACACCATTTGTTCCAGTATTCTAAAACAACAATTTTTAGTTCATGGTCCCATCAACCTTTCCATAATGATTCTAGAACTTCACCAGCACTATCCACAGTGAGAATAAAGAGAAAGAATGCAATTTTTACACTTGTAAGTATTGATAAGGCTCACAGCAACCTAGTTAAGTCAAAAAATGCACTGTTCTGTTTTCCTTTGGCAGATTTACTGAAAAACTATGCCAATGTTAAAGTGCCACAGACTGAAAGATATTCATAAAGATAAACCAGATTTCACTATGACAACACATTAGCAATCCACAGTGCAAAAATTATTTTCTGCAGAGGCTGTTAAATCGAGAATAGGCAATGACCTGAATTTACTGAGGCACACAGTGCATATCAAATTTTGCAGATATTAGCCTTCTATAGCCTAAAGAACATTTACTGATATGAGTTGCCTGCAAATAGCCTAAGCTTCTAATCTCTGAAATTTTACAGCAAGTTTCTTGGCTCAGGTTTTAGTGATTAAAGGGATGGACGTGTTTACACAAATGGGCACTTCCACATCACTCTACTTCACTATTCTGCAGGTGACCCTAAGCAAACATTTTTTTTGCGTGCCAATTTGCAAGGCAAGCAAATACCATGTTCTTCATCTGCCGCGCATGTTATCCTAAGGCTTAAAAGACTTCCTAGATATTTTTACCCTAGAAATGTCATATTTCCTGGTTATCAAAAGGAAGCCATTTTGTATATAAGGGATCTAAATACAAAGTCAGTATTACATGTGTTACCATAATAAAATGGAACAAGAAAAACACTTCTGCTTGATTAGGCTATCCAGCCAGTTACAGTAACCATACTGAATATTAATTCATGAGAGGCAGTTTGTTAGGGCAAGAAATGCACCTCTTAAACGGTCCTGCGGGGGCCATAAAGGGCGGGAAAGAGGTGGGGGAGGTAGGAAAAAATGGGATCAAGTCTCTACAAATAAAAATGGGATCAAGTCTCTTACAAATCTGACATATTAAAGTCTATTCTTCTATAGAATCAATTTATTTTGTTGTTTATTTCTCTACAGAAAAGAACCAAGAAGCACGAACAGAGAGCTCATCAAGAGATGAGACCTCAGCGGTGTCAAAAAGGAACTGAGCCAATCGCCAGGACTGGTGGACCACATGTGTTTGGTTCTGGTGAATGCGTGTTTGAGCTCTAGAATATTCCAGAGATCTATGCGAAAGAACAGATTAATCCATTAGTGAACATTCACAGAGATCACGAAGAAGAACCATACTGCATATTAATTCATTATAAAAACATATAATATTTCTAGCTTTAAAAAGGTATAAAACTTGCATTAAGTGTTTCTATAGCATTTTGTATAGAGAAAGATGTTGTATTCTTTTATCATTTCCACAAACTATCCTATGAAGCAAAGTCTATTTGCCCAATTTACAGATTAGGAAATGTGACTAAAGGGAAGTGACCTATTCAATAAGTGCTACTTCCAACATGACAAACTGAGTACAAACAGTAATGTAGGATGATGAAACATACAAAGCACAAGTAGTTATGTGAAACAATGACCCATGCCACCACAAATGACTACAGCTATCCACTTTAATGGATGGTTAATCCATGTGATTTACACATTAGGTTTCCAGGCACAATATTCACCGCATCCCAAATTCCCCTCTGTTTATGGTTCGGTGGTATGAAAATCTGAACACAACATCAGTCTAGATAAACACTGAGCCACAACAGCAAGAATATGTCAAAGGCTGTATTTCACTAATTAAATTATCTCAGGTAGCAGGACTATGACAGAAAGGCATGAGAGTGTAGGGAGATGCCGTCACTCAGGGAAGCCAGTTACATCAATCTTTCACAGTATCGACTTACTACAATCATTTCTTACATATATATTTTAGCCATATATTTGACTCAATGTGACAACACTTAACTTGAGATATGGACAAGTCAGTAAAGCTTGCTGTCATTTTAAACAAAAAAGGGAGACTGCTTTGAATGAATTAGTGGCTGATGACAAAGTGGGCCACAAACCTGGAACAACCATAAACCTCAAGGTAAAATGCATGTGACCAATTCTGAAACACACCATTACAGCTCATTTGCCAGTACTGAATTTGAAAGCCAGGTAACTACAGAAGGCTATAAATAGCCCTAAGAAAAGAATCAATTTCAAGCCTCAGTCCTATAGATGAATCTTGTTTCATTCTTCTCCTCTCTGTGGCATTCACTCGAAGAAAAAAGAACCAAATCTTCAGGGCCATATACAATGCCATCCTGACTCATTATGACAGAAAAGTGCCTCTGAAGACAGCAAAACTGCTTGAAAGGACATTTTAATATGGGCTGCCTGACGTACCACCGACAATATGCCATCAGGATGAACTCGACATCCACCCAGTCCAGCTCAGGACCTTGCAGTCAGCCAAATCTGGAGCTCCAACACCTGCTCATGGTTTTACCTTCCAACGTGAGTTAAGGAGCAGAGGATCCTCGAAAGGCTAACGTCCTCCCCTCCCGTCACCCCCCCCCCAAAATCAAGGTTACAGCGTTGACTAGAGCCCGAGTTCGCATTTGCCGCCTCTTGAGCTGCAAAGCCTCTGCATGGCTTTTGAGAATCCCACAGTCACTAAGTCGAAACAATACTTTTGAGAAGGGACCCAGCCTTTTCTATTGCAAGGGCGGGCAACGTCATCTAAGTGGAGGGGGGGGGAAAGGAAGGACGCCACAAGGCTGGATATTGAGGGAAATCTTTCTCGGCAAAGTCCACAGTACAGTACTGACGGCCCTGCAAGGACCCCCATCCGGCTTGGTGAGAGAAGGAAGGAAGAGAAAGCGCCTCTGTGTGTCTGTGTGTCTCTCTCTCTCTCTCTGTGTG